GACAGCTACAACCACACCTGCCTCCCCCATAGAGAAGGGACTGGAGCTTTGGAGGCAGCTGGCGCTGTGGGTACAGAGGAGTGAAGTCTCATGTCCTGCAAAGCAGTCACTCTGTCACCTGCTACCCTTGTGTCCTCTAAGGACCAGCAGACGCAGAGCTCTTCAGCTCCCAGGAAGCCCAGGCTGGGCCTTGGGGGGGGGGGGTCATTGGTCACTTCCAACAGCTCAGCTCTGCACAGCCTGTGGGTTTCCAGTCACAGCCCTTGCTTCCAGCAGAAAGTTGGTCAGTCCTGCAGCACCCATAGCCACCACACTGCAACCCCTGCCAGTGGGAGGCTCAGGGGCACCAGGGCTTCCCCAAGGCCTCAGGAAGCTGAAGAGCCCACACTCAGAATTGCTCACTAGGGAGCCACCAGCACACCTGAAAGACAAGGCCTGGCATTGGAGTGGTTTTGGCTGGGGATCGCGAGCTGGGGACACCAGCCAGCCCTTGCGTCTCCTCTCCTCCACTCTGTGCCCACTGTCTCATGGGGCCACTCGTCCTCCCTGACAGGTTCTACAGCCACATGCCTTTCTGCTGACACTGACTCCACAGATGCAGGATTGCCGACCTGTGGGGAAGACGGTGCACGCAGCAGGAAGGCAGAGTGTGGCCTGGAGTCACTGTTTCCCTGCCTGACAGCCACACAGGCTGAGGCCAGCGTGAGATTCTCTGAGTCCAGTGCAGTTTGCTGTGGACCAGGAAGCACAATGGTGAGGTCACCGAGGCTCTCACACCCACGTGTGCTGCACATATGCGTGATCGCTTCAGGGTCCTGACGGCTGCTCTTGCTGTCTCCAGCTTGGAGGGACAGAGTCCTTGGCAGACCCAGGCAAAGCCACTGAAACACTGAATTCAGCAGGGACCGGAAGAGACAGCTTGGCTTCATACCTCCAGGAAAAACCCTTCCCATTAGAGGTCTGAAATAAATTTAGAGATCCTGGGGCTAAATGTAGCTGACTGACAGTCTCTTGTCAGCTTCCCTGGGCCACTGCTGCAGGGATCCGGTCTCTGTGAACAGAACCAAGAGGAGGAAGAGGCGCCCAAGGAAGAGGGCAGGGACAGAGGGAGGACAGGGCCAGCTCTGTCTGTGTTCAGGCCCTGGTCTCCCCGAAAGGGAAGATGGGGAAAACAGCACAGACTGGGCCGAGACACCTGATGCTGGGTGAGGAGACCAGAGGCCAGGGAGACTGCACCCACTCTGGAAAGTCGTGAAATTCAGATTAACAATTTAACAGCCTGAAATAAACTATTCCTTTTGAGGTGGTAAATAGTGCTTTCATTACTTACTACTTATCCTGAGGGCTGGTACCAGTCATGGAAACCTAACAACAAAAAGGAAAGAAAATAGTTAAAATAGAAATAAGGGGCAAACAGACGGAAGTATACAACCCAGGGCTGGTTTCGTAGATACACGCTCTATAGAAATCAAAATCTCTCCTGGGGCGGGGAATGTAGCTCAGTAGCACAGCAACTGCCTGGGAAGCATGAGGTCCTGAGTTTGATTTCTGATACCAAAACCCCCCAAATTTCCTGATTTCCCTTTACCTAGGGGAGGCTCCCGTCCTCATGGTTCAAATGACTGCTAATACTCCACTCCCAACAGCTGAACAGGTCATGAGGAGAGAAGACATGCCTTCCCTTTCAGAGAGACTGTTTAGAAGTCTTATTCAACATGTGATTTTGGGAAAATTTTAGTCAGAGGTGGCGATGTGTGCTGCAGGGCAGTTTGCAGCAATGTCTGCAGGCAAATAGCAGTGTTCCGCGTACCCCGAGAGCATCATGCTACATGAATCAGACCCACAGGCTTCAAAATCATATGGTTAGTCTGATACGAGAAACCCAAAGTGTAAATAAACTAAAGAGCCAAATAAGAGATAGGTCATAGAGATGGACCTTTGGCTATCTGGAAAGCCATGAAAAGAATGCGGTGCTGTGAACCTGCACCAGCTCCCCACGGTGGGGTGAGCACTGGGCATTGCATACAGGCGCGCGTAAAAATGAAAATCAGGCCGTGGATTGAGCGTGCCGTTCCGCGCCCAGTGAGAGCTGCTGCAGAAGCACAGGCCTGCACGTGGTCTAGGCCCCAGGCACAGGCACTGTGCTGGGGTGAGCAGGGTGCTGCCTGAGAGCCCCCTTCCCGGGAAGCATACCAGGTCACCAGCACCGCTGTCCCACCTCACAGAGATGTGGGGATGGGTGGAGGGTGCCCATGCCAGCCACAGCAACAACCAGGATGGAGACAGCCAGGATGGCTGGCAGGGCCACCTGGAGCCATGGGCTGGGGCTGTGAGCCACACTGGGCACCCAAGAAGGCCACTTCCGGATCCCAGGTGGGGAAAGCAGCACCAGTGGTGAGACGTTGATTTGGGCTGAGAACCTCACCATGGAAGACCCAGCTCCTTCCCAAGGGTGGAGGGGACTGCAGGCGTCACCTTGACGGAAGCTCCTTCTGTGGCCGCCTCCACTGACCAGTCAGCCTGCCCAGAGCTATGGGGTGAGGAGGGTGTGAAGATCAATGCAACTTCATCGTCAAGAGAACACGGCATCAGGAGATGCACAACTGACTGAAATACAAGGCAGGGAAAGAGGAGAGAGGGGCTGTGAGGGGCCGCAGCTGCCAAGGGCTGAGCAGGCCATCCCTCGCTGATTCTGCTTTGTTTCCTTTAAATCTTCTTCAGCTAGGACTAGCTTTCTCTCAGAGACCTGGCTTGTCTCAAAGGGCTCCTTGACATCTACCTTTCTGTGGTTCTGGACATTGGCTGCTGCATTGGAAATCTTTTTTAAGATTGATTTGTAAGAGCTCTTTCTACTTGAAAGAAATTAACTTTCTTTAACACAAGTTTCAAACACTGTTCCCAGCTGGTCCTTCATCTTTTCATAGGTGGGGAAGCTTCATTTAGAAAGTTATATATTTGTGAAATCAGGTTGATCCATCTTTTACCAGGACTTGTCACATTAAAAGACAAAATTATAACAATCCTAGGTTTGCAGTTCTGGGCTTTTTTCTTCTAGATCAGGTTGTAGTCTGAACCAAGAGTGGTTCTGAATACCACCACACTTCAGGGCAGGTTCAATTTATAGCCAAAGAACAGGAAGTGAGGTAGGAAAAGGAAGTGGCATGCATGCACAGTAATTGGTTACAGCTTGCATCTGTCTTGTTTGACAGTTGGCTGCTGCTTCTGATTGGCTGAGATGTAGGTGAGGGTCAGTTTGTATACCCTTAGGTTCACAAGATACAGAGTTTTAAACCAAACCTAAGATATGCACAGACAAATCAAACTTTCAGTTAAATGTATAGTGCTGAGGATTTAACCTAGGCCTTTTCACTGATCTATATGCCCAGCCTTTTAAATTTTTTTCAATTTGAAACAAGGTCTTGTGAACTTGTTAAACTGTCAGATTGAGTTTGAGCTTGTGCTCCTCCTGCCTCTGCCTCCCCCAGTGCTGGGAGTTTTGGAGACCACCACCCAGCTGCTGTGTGTTTAAAAATATTATCTTGTATTTGTTCTTTCTTTCATTATTTGGAGTAAAATTTTTATCTGCCTAGAATTTAATCTGCTGAAGAGTGGGGTGGCTGGCTATTTCCACACTGTTGAACACCTTGTCTGTCTTTCACTTATTTGGGATGAAACCATCATCAGTTCCTGAATCCCCACACACCTGCAGGTCTATAACTAGCTTCCGAGGCCATCTCCCCCTCTCATGAACACACCTGTGCCATGGGCTGCAGCCTTTCTTACTGTGCTGGTCAGCTCTTCCTGTCTGGACCCCAACACCTGACATTTGAAGCTTTAGGAGGAGAAGGGGTTCATCTTGACCCCTGACTTCAGAGACTATAGTCCAGGGTTGGTCACAGGACAGAACCAGCAACAGAGGAAAGCTGCTTACCCCAAGGCAGCCAGGAAGCAGGAAGGGATGGGGTGAGGGACACTGGCTTCCTTTCCAGGCTAGGCCCCGGGCCCTGACTGCCCATGCAGCTGAGGGGCTCAGTGCCCCATAGCCAACCACGGCCCCACCCCCGCCCACCTCTTAATATCCCTGCACTGGGGATTAACCCCCCTGGGTGAGTCTTTGGGGGCATCTCTGACCCAGCTGTAGCAATGCCTCTGGGCCACACTTGATGGCCTGTTAAGGCCGAGCAGCTCCCTCGTCGAGTGCTCTAGCTGGTTCTGTGTGCCATTTCCCATTGTGAGTCAGCTTATCTCCGCACCCCTGACGGAGGGGCTCTTTGGTGTTTTCACTGGAACCTTGTAAAACTTGTGGGTAACTGCTGCTGCTGCTGCTACTGCTGCCGCTGCCACCACCGCTGCTGGAATGTCCTTTGCTTCTCATTTACCCATGCTCCCCAAGGGCTGTGAATGTTTCCTTGTGAATCACGGCCGTGTGCTTCCCTGGCCTCTGTCGTTTCCTCTGGCAGCAGCACCTTCTGCTTCTAGAGGCTCTGAGGGCGACTGTGGCTGAGGCCCACCGGTCTGAGAGTCCCCAGAACAATGGCGGCAGTGTCACCCTCCCTGTGTGTGTGTAACCTGAGCCTCCATGGTTTGCAGGGCCTCAGCATGACACACAATCCCCTTGCCCTCAGTCACTTGCAGTGCTGCCCAGGGTGGTGAGGTGCACCCTGCCTTACGCGTCTGTGCTTATGGCTGCACCACTCGGCCTCCAAGGATGGGTTCTTACTCCACGGCGGGGCCTCTTCTCCAACAGAGCAAGGTGTTGCCCTCTTGACCTCTTTGTAAAGAAGCAATGTGCAAGTTTACCTGTAATCCTGGCACTCTGGGAGGCTGAGGCAGAAGGATCACAAATTCAAGCCTCATCTGGGCAACTTGGTGATTTTCCAAGACCTTCTCTTAAAATTAAAAAGAAATGAAATAAAAAGGTTTGGAAATATAGCTTGGTGCAAAGGCCCTGGGTTCAGTCACCATCCTGACTCTCACTATGACTTCGCTGTCCTCTGCAGGCCCTGCGGTCACCTCAGCACAGCCTACAAGGAAGTGTGCAGCCCTCCGGATGTGGCAGCCCAGCCTCCTGCAGCCCCAACCCTGAGCTTGCAGTGGTCAAGTGTGCAGCTCCCAGTGACACCTGCCAGCCATGTGTCTCCAGAACCTGAACTCATGTCCTCCACGTCCTGCTATGGGTCCCGTCAGCACACCAATGACATGCAGAGCCCAACTCCCCAGCTGCCATCTCCGCCTCCAGTCGGGGCCCAGGGCAGCATCCACACAGTCTGCCTGCACCCTGGTGCTACGGTCCCCTGCATCCTACCTGGGTGAGGCAAGATTGGTGATCCTTGGTGAGCTCTGCACCTTGAAGATGCTGAGACCTCCCTGTTCCACAGTGGAGACTGCTGGGTGCCTCAAAGGCGTCATAGTGCAGAGCAAAGTTAGCTCTAAGGGCTCAACCAACAGAGGGGAAACCCCAGCCAGGCAGGGTGGTGGGGCAGTGTTCAAGGACCTGGGCTGGGAAGGACCCCCCAGGCACTGGGCCCATCCTGAGGCACTGTGGCAGAGGGATGCCAGGGGCAGGGCAGGGGCAGGGGTAGAAGATCGAGCTATGGCCTCCCAGTATCCCCGGCAGTGTTTGACTTTCCAGTTTACTGCTGTGAGTCTCCACTGCTTCCCCTCCGGAACTGCCTTTCTTCCCAAAAAACGAGGCCTGGACTCAGCATCAGGGCCACAGGCGGGAAAAGCCTTCCCAGAGGCCATAGGGAGCAAGAAACTCCCTGGAAGGGCCAGGCTTGCACTGTCCCCAAGGCAACCTGGAGACAAGGAAGCTGCCTCAGATGCACCCCACCAAGGAGGCTTCCAGGGTGACAATAGCCACTCAGGACACCTGACATTTTGTGGGCCCGGGCTATCCATAAAGAGTGGCTAAGGACAGAGATTAAAAGCACACTGAGTTGGAGCAAACCACCTAACACACATTGAGGGTCTGCTCACACCATGCAGAGGAGCAGCTGTCAGGAACAAGCATCCTGAGACATGCTGCTCTTCTCTCTGGGGTTCCAAGTGACCCCATAGTATGAGGGGACAGAGATGTCTGTGCCCCTCCAGATGCCAACACAAACATCAGGCCCAGAGTAGGGCCCAGGCCAGACACTGCCCTTTCTCCCAACGCATGTGGCCTCCGCCCTTCTCAGAGCCCTAGTGACCACGCCCAGAGGCCTCCTTAGTTCCTGGCCAACCGCCCTGCCTGGATCCGACCCAGATCAGCACCCTGCTGAAGCTCCATGTGGATTACAAATTGCAGCGGTCAGAGTGGGGGAGACAGATCCAATTTCAGAGCTTCTCCCACAGCTGGGATGAACCACCGGGCCTGGGCCACTGTGTCCCCTGACAGGTAAGGCAAAGCCTGCTTCCGGTCTGGGCCAGCGGCTGCCAGTGCAGGATGCACTGCAGTGGGGGCTCCCACCAGCCACCCTGAGTTCACATCCAAAGTCACCGGAGGCCACTGCTGTCTCCCTTCCCTTCAGTCTTTCCCACTGCACAGAGGGGCAGAGACAGAGAGGACACATGCAGGGCTCCTCTGTCCCAATCTGTAGAGGTGGGGGCAGCAAGCCCAGGATGCTAAAGAGAGTGGGAGGCTGTGTTGCCACTCTGGGCGCGGGGCCTGGTGGTCATGGAGCTCAGAAGCCAGGCCAAGGAGACTGAGTGCAGGGTAGCACTTCCTCAGAAAGAGTCAAGAGTGGGCAAGGGCTCCCACAGTGGGAGAGGAGTCCTGGACAGCTCGATGGCATGAATCAGGCTGGCTGCTGGCCCAGGAGAGGGGTGGCCCTATGGAGCCATCAGGGTGGATGGGAGCCTGGTGATGGTTGTCTAGTGCTGTTTGCATGATGTGGCCCGGAGAAGTCCTGACCTCTTGAGGGCCATTTGGTTCCCATGAGGTGAGTGCCCTGCTTAGGGTTGGACGGTCCAGGTCTATGGCACAGATTGATGGCCAGTTTAGCAATAATGGCTGGATTAGGGGGTGATCACTCCTTTAAGGGATGATTGTTGTCTTAGGGGTGATTGCCGTCTTAGGGGATGATTGCTGGTTTGGGAGTGATGACCAGCTTAGGGGCGATGGCTGGCTTAGGAGGTGATCGCTGGCTTAGGGGGTGATCTAATCGTGGGGTGATTGTCTGCAGAGGCTGGGCCCTCCAGGGAACCAGGGTTTAGGGAAGGAGAAGACTCCAGATTCTGCCCTGGTGGTCTGAACTGGACACAGGTGGAAGCCCTGCCTGACACCTTCATTATGCTTACCTTGGTATCCTCCATTCTGTAGGGAGGTGAGAGAGGTTGGGTGAGTTTAGGATGAATACAGTGGGCCCAGCCCACTGTAATCATGTAACCATGTAATCATGTAAGCATGTAACCATGCAGTTAGAAAGGATCATGTCATGGACCGGAAGCCATGGAGTCCACCATGGGCCACCTGTGTGTATGCAGGGCAGGGGAGACTGTCCCCTGGAAGGGACAGGCTTGGCGGGGCCCTCACCCACAGGGGCCTGTCCTGGTGCGCACCTGGGACTCCAACTGGGTCAAGGTGAGAGGCCCCCAGTGCACCTCCAGATGTCCAGGCCATGGAGTGATGGGGGGAAAGAAGTCCTCACAGGGATGGCACCTGGTCTCTGGAGCCAAAGGCCAGGGGTGGAACTCTCCATTCGTCAGGAGCTGGCTACTTTATTTCCCAAGCGGCAGTTGAAACACTGTTTATTGAAACTTTGTCTAAACTAAAACATACAATAAAATCAAAAGGGCTGGGTATGTAGCCCTGGTAGAGGTCCTGGGTTCAACCCCCTGTACTGGGAAAAAAAGCATAAAAAAGGATGATTTGGGGTGAGAATGGTAAAGGCCACTGCACAGAGGCTGTGGCACCTACCAGGTTCCCCAGCTGGGGCTGAGGACCAAGAAGTGGCAGTGTGCAGAGTAGCTCTCTGATTCCCTTGTGGGGATTTCCCTAAAGGACAGCTCGGCAGCCTGTGTGGCAGTGCAGTCACCATCACAAAACATGGTGCAAGGGACAGGCGGCAAGGGACAGACCTTCGTGCAGCATGGTGGGTGTTAGTAGTCGTCATGCACAGGGCAGTGTCTGAGGGTCTAGAGAGTCACCCCGCCCTGTGAGGCATCTCCTCTCCTGCTGGCTCCCTGTGCTTTCTGACCTGCAGGGAGATGACAGACCGATGTGAGTCCCCACAGTGTAGCGTGGCCAATTTTCCCGGGCTTTCCTCTCACTGTGCACTGTCGGCGTCTCTGTTGCTTTACTCCCCCTGGGTGCTGGGAGGGCAGATGCTGGGCGGCTGGGTGGCGTTTCCATGGGTCCCACAAGCCCTGGTCCCACTGCAACCAGGTGGGTGCAGTCTCCCCATGGAGGCTCACTCCTGCCCTGGCCTTCTGAGCTGCCCTTCTGTGGTTGATGGCTGTCCTGGGTGGGCCCTGTGGTCATCACATTGGCAAATGATGGGTCCCCAGCCTGGGGCCAGGGCCACTGTCCACCGTGGGAACCTGGGCCATTGTATTTGGGGTGTTCTCCAACCTGCCCACTTCTCCTGCTGTCCTCCATGGGAGATCCTCTCACCATTAGGTGTTACCTGGCTGCCTCATCGAGTGGTCAGATGCACTGCAGATTCGGTCACCTGTCCTCACATTTCAGAAGTTACCCAGCTGAGTCCTCCCTCACCGCCCCTGTCTGTGTGCTCGGAGGCTCGTGTCTGTGTTGCTGAGAGACTAGGCCCTGGCTGTGTTTCTGTCTCAACATCTCAGCATCTACCTCCTTCCTTGCTGTCCCCACGGGACCCATTTCAGGGTCCCTGCTGACCTCGGCAGCATCCATGCTTTCTTCCATGCCTTTGAAGAAGGAAGGAATCATCGCCGGCAGGCTCCCTGCGTGTGCAGCCCTGACGCTCCCTGGCCCCGGGCTCTTCTCTGAGCACCTTCATGTTTCTGGACAGGGCCTGTCCCTTCTCATCCTGGGTGAAGAGAAGACAGTGCATGAGAGTGGCTGGAGGGGCGCCCCTTCCACTTGGCTGTTGTAAGGCTGAGTCAGTCTGGTCAGGAGTAGTGTGAGAAGGGGGTTTGTTGCTACCCTGGTTACCTTCGGTGTCCCAAATTCAAATCCTTTAACTGTGTAAGTAGAGAGGCTTCCTTATGGTCCCAGACCTTCAATGCCCCTGCCCATGCCTGCTTCCCTTCTGTGGGCGGTGGACAGTGGGCTGTGGACAGTGAATGACTGCACTGACCGGGCACCTGCAGCCCACGTCAGAGTTGTTCAGGGCCATTTCGCCATCTTGCACAGACGCGGGTAGGGAAGGAGGATCTCCTCAGGTCTCCTCCTTCTCTGGGCTGTAGCATCTGTCCTGGTTTCGACCCAGTGGTTTCCTACCCCCCTGGTATGGTGGTTTCCACTGTACCCTGGTTGGCAGGGCCTGCTGTTTGCCCAATGGAAAGGGCTTGGTGTGGGGTGTCCTTATTCTGCACACAGGACAGCCCACAAAGGTGTGCCCACCCAAGGATCTGAGGGCAGTGCCACCCCTGCAGCCCTTGTGCCCCAGGCTCCCTGCAGATCCCTGAAAGCCGTGATCATCCACCCCGCAGGCACCTGCTTTCCCAGATTCCAACCCCACTGTGACCCCATCACTCGGCTCTCTGAAGCATTTGAGAAAAGTCATATTGTGGGTGCCCAGCATTGAGCGAGCTCCCCTTTCCACATCAATGCTAGCCGGGTGCACTGAGACTCCCCTGACCGGGGTCGGCTTGCTCCTCCCTGTCCTGTGGGGCTCTGAGCCCATGTACAGCAGTCCCTCTGTGCCCACACCCCACCTGCTGTACCCAGGTGAGCTCCAAGAAGTTGCTGGGTCAGGGAGGAAGGACACTGCCTCGCTAGCCTCAGTGCCGACCACCTGAGGGGACGCAGGTGTCGATCCTGCACGGTGTCGAGGCTGTCCCAAGCTGCCGGTGTTGCCCCACTTCCCGAGTGGCTGCCTCCAGTCTTTCTTCAGTGCTAATCTGTAGGTTTGTGTAATTTTCCAGGAATGATACATGGCGGCTTCCTAAACTCTCACTACATGAAAATGTCTTTCTGTTCCCTTCATCTACAAACAATAGCTCAGCAAGATGACAGATTCGTGGCCTCCAGCTTGTAATCTCAGCATCCTGTAGTTGTTTCTTATTATACCCTCACATCAAAGCCACGCTGAGGTGTCTCCCTGTGAATATTTTATAGCATCTACTTGGTTGCATGTAGGCATTTTTCATACTTGGAAATCAAATACTTAGCTGGACGTGTCTGGTTGTGCATCTTCCTTTGTTACTGGCTGGTGGATGGTACCTCATCTCAAACTGCAGACTCTGACTCTGGCCTTCTGCTTGGAAGTGCTTCCTTAGACTACAGCGCTGACCTGCTCCCCTCTGACCTCAGCAGTTGGGTCACCTGTGTGCCACCTTGTGCTGTGTCTCCCCTGACATGTCCCACTCTCAGCTCCCCATCCTTTCGCCATCTGTCTTCCTCCACAGCGCTGCTCCCGTTCCCTGCCACTCTGTCTCTGCCTCCTCTCTTCCCACACTGTTTGAAACTTTGCTGTGGCAGATTTTCTTTTATTACCTCCCTTGCAGAACTGCCATGGCCACTGCTAAGCTGCCCGGCTGTCTTATCGCCACATCCTCCAGCTCTGCTCACAGGGCTCACGTTGTCCTTAGATCGGAGATAAAATCTTCTTCATCCCATAGTTAATCTCTTCCAAACTATGCTAATCTTCTCCCTGAAATATTAGATTTATTCCTTTTGTGCAGAAAAATATTTCCATAGAGGTCCCCTGAAGATTTCACTGTTCTGTTTTCTGTATACAGTGAACCCCCATACCTGCGGGCTTAACCCCCTGGATTGAGCCATCTGAGGACTGAAACCACTTAGGGCTGGGATTGAGTCTCCACTGAGCATGCCTGGGCTTATTTCCTGGTTATTATTCCCAAACGATGTGGTTTATCAACTATGTACACAGCACCTACCTTGTATCAGGCAGTGTAAGTCATCCAGAGATAATTTACAGTGCACAGGTGCATACATTAGATTACAGGCAAGCAGTTTTATACAGTGAGTGTGAGCCCCCTGTGAATACAGAGGAGGCCCTCTCATCTGTGAGTCAGGAGAGGGCCACGTCCACTGGCATTTACCCTGAGTATTTCCTTGAATTTCTCCATTATTTGCCTGTATGCTCTTAAAATCCTGCTACCTACTCTCTGACAATTCAACAGAGAGGCCCAAATTTGTTTGTAATCCAAGGGCGTGACAAGGGGAGGTCTGGACGGTGTACAGTGACCTCTTTTCTCCTTGATAGTTTGAGGTCACCCAGCCTCTGTGGCACC